GTAGAAGGAGAAAACTGACCTTCACAAGTGAGCTCTCACTGCCACATAAGCATCCTGGCATGAACACACCTGCACGCACGCGCGCGCGCACGCGCGCACACACACACACACACACATACACACACATACACACACACCAATAATAATAAATGACATAAAATAATAAAAATATAAAAATAAACCAAGATATATGGCACCTAAGGAAGGACACACCCAAGACTGACCTCTAGTTTCCAAGCACACATGAATACACATGCATGTATACCCACAAACATGTATGCACACACACACATACACAAAAGGAAAAATGTATAAATTTATATTTGCTTAAAATTCGAAGTTCTAAATTAGAAACATTATAGCTCAATCTTGAGGTTGGTTTTCTTTTTTCCTCACTTTCCTGGGTTGGTAAGTAGGTGGGTGTCAACCCAGAGCTACAGAAGCCCAGACGTGTGTGTGTGTGTGTGTGTGTGTGTGTGTGTGTGTGTGTGTGTGTGCGTGCGTGTGTGTGTGTGTGTGTGTGTGTGTGTGTGCATGTGTGTGTAACCCTGGGGAGGGGCGGGTGGGGTGATGGGAGCTTGGGGAAGAGTACGGATTCTTGGGCCTTCTTTTCTAGAGATCAGTAATCACCAATCACAGTTCTCACTTGAGTCTCATGCGAATGAACTGGGCCACTTTGACTTCTAGATGGGTGTGCTGGATGGTTTTACATCAACTTGACACAAGCTAAAGCCATCTGAGAGGAAGGAACCTCAATGAAGGAAATGTCTCCATAAGATCTGGCTGTACACAGGTCTGGAAGGCATTTTCTTAATCAGTGATTGATAGAGGAGGGCCCAGCCCACTGTGGGTGGTGCCACCCCTGGGCTGGTGGTCCAGGCTTCTATAAGAAAGCAGACTGAGCAAGCTATGAGGAACAAGCCAGTAAGCAGCACCCCTCCACGGTCTCTGCATCAGCTCCTGCCTCCAGGTTCCTGCCCTGCTTGAGTTCCTGTCTTGACTTCCTTCAGTGATGAACAGTGATGTGGAAGTGTAAGCCTTTTCCTCCCCAAGTTACTTTAACATGTGTTTCATCACAGCAGTAGAAACCCTAAGATAGTGGGCTTTAACAACCCGAGTCAGGCGGCTGGATCAGTGGTTAAGAGCATTTGCTGTTCTTGCAGAGGACTTAGGTTCAGTTTCCAGCACACACAACCATCTGTAACTACACTTTCAGGATATCCAGCACTGTCTTCTGGCTTCTTCAGGTACTAGGCATGCACATGGCACATAGATATACACACAGGCAAAGATTCATATACACAAAAGAAAAATAAATTAACATTTTAAAGAAACCTGAGACTGACATAGAGCATGTGACCAAAGTCCCGTGTATCTGTTCAGATCCCTGAGAACTCAGGAAAGAACTTTCTGGCCCATTTAATGACAAGTTAGAAGCATCATTTTGGGATAAAACATGATGCGTGTTATCTGTTGTTGTTTTTTTTTAATTTTAATTTTTGAAAAGTTACAACAGTTCTGTCCTGGTTCATGTGATTGGTTTCATACATATGTATCCAGGAGGTAGACAAGTGCTTGGACCCTACATAAGCACATCAGAGTGAAGATGGGTGGGGGAGGGTTGCTTAGGCCTCTGCTATGGACCTGCCACTCTGGTGTCTCTCACCATTCTCTGTACCACTGATTCCAGAGCTCAGCCTGTGTGTGGAAGGGACTGTGGTGACGGCAGTGGGGGTTCCCCTCCCTGCTCTGGTATCAGTTCCGGGCAGGCCATGCTATATCTGGGTTTTAATAATGTTTGAGGTGGGCGGGGATGCCAGTGTCGTTCTAACATTTTAACTTTGTGCTTGAGCATTTTAGTGGCGTTCTGGTTTGCACATCCTCAGGATGTGTGTGGCGGGGAGGGTGACGGCAGTGCAAACGTTGGGGAGTCCGAGGTCAGTGGAAGAGTGTCCCCCATGCGGTCTCAGGACAGCACCCAGTGTTGTCTGCCCGCATGAGGGTGTGGGGTGCATTTGTCTGCACACAAAATGGCCGTTGTGGGCTCTGTCAAATCCATCATAGACTCCCTGGAGCGTGGCTGGTTAGGTATTTCTGAAGGCTCTTTCAGTTCCAAGTTGGAGCAGCTTCTGTCTGTGGTGAGTTTCCAATGAAGCTCAGCAAACAGGTTTTTCCCAAGCAGATCAAATGGCACTTACTAAAAGTGTGATTGTGTGTGCATACGTGTGTAGACATGCTTGCACAGTCTCCACAGCACATGCTGTAGGTTGTGTTGAAAAGAACCTTTCCCCGCCACTTGCTAAAACCATGTGCTAAATTAGTCTTTGGCAACCTCGTTTCTGGAAATTGGACTCTGCCCAGAGGTGGGAGAGTTGGGGAAAGTTTGAAGCAAATTTATATGGCTGTTTTCTGTGGTTAGCAGGATGGAAAAAACCATAAAAATGAACTTCACATTTCTCTGGTTTTCTTGGAACGCAAAAGTGGCTGACTTAGTCTCACATTTCAGACGTTCTCTTGAGCTGGAATATAGGTCTGTCGAAGAGGAGTATGTGGGCGGCAGCTTAGAGGGGTCACACTTAGGACAAGATGGGACAAGATGGACAAGCTACACTCCAGGCCTGCCCTGCATCCGGCTCTCTCTGTCTTCTCTGTCTGTCTGTCTGTCTGTCTGTCTCTCTGGCCATCCTGGGGACTGACCCTCTGACCACATGTGTGTTCGGCAATCCCTATGCCACTAAACTAGGCTCTCAGTCCTGTGTCTGCTTTTTGTTTTTAGACAGGGTCTCACTGAGTTGCCCAGGCAGGTTTTCAATTTGTGATTCTCCTGCCTCCGCCTCCTGAGGAGCTGGGAGGGCAGGCCCTGGGCTGCCAGGCTAAGACCTAAGTTCATTCATCTGACTTTTCAGTTTTGAAAATTCTCTGAAAACCCATCATTCAAAACACATCACACTTATACCATCACACCTTTTTTTGAGACAGTGCCCCCTATAGGCCAGGCTGGTTACAATCTCACTATATAGCTGAGGATAACCTTGAACTTCTTACCCTTTGCCTCTCCCTGTGAGTACTAGAATTACAGGTATGTGCCACTGTATCCACTTTGTAAAGTGCCGGGCCTGGAACACAGCGCCTCATACATCGGGCAAGCGCTCTATCAGCTGAACTATAGACACAGCGTGGAGGAGCCCTTACTCTGCATGTGCATACTAAGTGTGGTTCACACACAGTTCCACTGTACTCACGGTGACCTGTGAGATCGTGACTGCTCCAGTTCTACGTGCAGAGAGAGCCTCCGAGAGCTTGGGGAACTTGCCGAAGGTCATGCAGGTAGTTCATGGTGACGCAAAGCTTCAGACGTGAAACTGCTGACAAACTGCCCCTTCATACTAAAACCTGGGGGCTGGAGAGGAGGCTCAGCAGTTAAGAGGACCCAGGTTCAGTTCTCAGCACTCACGGTAGCTCACAACCATCTGTAACTCCACCATCTCCGGTGAGCTCTACACACACAGTGCACATGTATACATGCAGACAAACACTGTACACATACAATGGAAAAAAAACTTACTGCTTTTTCCTTTTCTTGATTTTTGGTAAAGCTAGGGATCACACCAAAGGCCTGGCACATGCCAGGCAAGCGCTCTCCTACCCAGACACATGCTCATCTCTTCATGCAGTCTTTTTTGTTGTGTGTATTTATGCTGTGTGGGGGTGTGTGTGGCCAGAGGACAAGTTTGTAGAAATGGTTCTTCCTTTCCACCTTCACATGGGGATTAAACTCACATCACAGGACTTGCAACATTGGTAACAAGCAGTTTTACCCATTGAGCCAACTTGCTGGCCCTTTATTGCAGTTTAAAAAATTATTTATCTTTGTCTCTCTATATATGATGTATGTCTGTGTGTATGAGTGCAGGCACCATTGTGCCACTAGGGATGTGTAGAAATTAGAGGACAACCTGCAGTGTCTTTTGTTCACTGCTGGGTGCTTCAGGCTAGCTGGCCTTCGAGCTTCTAGGGATTCCCCTGCCTCTGCCTCTCACCTCCCCAATAGGATTCTGGGGCTACAGATGCATGCTAGCATGAGAGGCTTCGGGTAGGTGCTGGGATCTGAACTCGGGTCCTCGTGTTCGCACAGCAAGTGCTCTACCCACTGAGCCGTCCCCCCAGACCTATTGCAGTTGTAAAATGAGGATTTAGTACTTGGACACAGGAAGAGACATCATGGCAGCAAAGATGTGTTAACCACTGTTTGGTTAATCAGTGGAACAACTGAGTTACTTGTTAATTAAACAGAATAGGATTCGAATCCTCTTGAAATGGGACTAACGTGTCAATCAGTTAGAGATCTTGACATCACAGAAAGCTGAGAAGATGAGAATTTCCTGTGACATAAATTTGACTGTAAATAGTATGTTAAAGGTGTCCAACCTTTCAGCTTCGTCTGGGTCACACTGTCATCTAAAAAGTTCACACTCAAGGACTGCAAAATTGAGTTATGAAAAGAAATTGAAAAAAAAAAAAAAGCCTCATGATCCTCAAGCGAGTTCACAGTTTTTGTCTTGGGTTGCGTCCATAGGTGTCCTCAGCAGAACGTGTACCGGTTGAACACTCCAAAAAGATGTAATTAGGTATCTGATTTTAAGTCTAAGACATCAGAAAGCCATGGTGCAGATGTCCACGTTCTGCTGAGGCTCCCCAGAAGTGTCTGTGACCCTCCTTCTCGTTCTGGCTTTTGGAGGACGTTGTCTGCAGGGTGTGGCAATGTGGCCTTCCCAGCTGGCTGTTCTCTCCTGTGTCTATTCAGGAGTCAGCTGAGCATCTCACCATTGTGGGATCCTGTCCAGGAGGCTCTGAAGGCAGGAGCTGTGGGAGACTATTTGATGCCTGGTGGACCTGGCAGATGACTGGTCACAAAAGCTTGCCCTCATCCACACAGGTGCCTTCCTAGCCACACTCACTAACTCGCCTCCTGTCCTTCTCTTTGGACCACCCTTCAACAGCTGAGACCCTGGATCGTCATGGTCTATGGAATGTGGGCCTGCTGGTGTGTGCTGGGGGCTCCCGGCGTGGCCATGGTCTTTCTCCACACCACCATCGCCTTCTGCGTGGCCCAGTTCCGGTCAATGCTCCTATCCTGGCTGTGTTCTCTCCTCCTGCTCTCCACCCTGAGGCTGCACAGTGTGGAGGAAGTTAAAGTAAGTGTCCCCCCCCTGCACACCTTACTCCGGGGGGGGTGGGGGGGTGGGGGGGGGTGGAGAAGGGAAGGCTTCTGATCCTATAGATGTCTCTCCACTCGAGAACAGTAGCCGCTCATGGGGCTCCGCCTAGTGGCCATCTAGGGTTATTGCACAATCTCATCAGCGTTCATCAGTCTTGGTTTTATGTTTGAGCCTGTGAGGTTATCCTGGATTACCATTTCTCCCAGTTTGGATGTTAATGTCATGGGACCAGAGGGATAGAAACAGAGCCCTCCCCTCTCTTTATGCTTAAACCTGCCAAGACATTCAGACAAATGTCTTTATTCTTAGTGGATAGGATAGCTTATTAATTATCCACTCATATAGCTAGTCACAGAAGCACTTTGTACAGAAAGTGAACACAGGGTGTTTTGCCTCAAGGTCACAGACCAAGCCTTGATGTGCCATGGGATGGCATCTTGACAGACACAATTGTTTGTCGGTTGTGTGTTTGGTGGAGGTGGACACTGGGCAAGAGGCAGTCTGTCTGGCTGTTGAGTGGTTAATTCTGTGTACATCCTGCCCAGTCCCTTAGGGACCAAATTAAAACTCTTTCCTGGTTCGGAATCTTGTATATACTGCTATAAAGTGTTTATTTTGGTGCCGGGGTTGGACCTAGGGTCCCAGATGTGCAAGGCACGTGCTCTACCGCCCAGCCACACGGCAGCTCACGCTGCTTGCTTTGGTTGCCGGTGGGATTTCCTTGACACTGCTTTCTCCCGTTGCTTCTCTCCTAGGGGAAGCCGTGGTCCGGGTTCCCCAGGCAGCTCCTGCGTCGGGCTGATGCCTCCTTGCCGCTCACTCACAGGCTGTTCCTGCTTGTTGCTTTTGCAGAGGAGGTGGTACAAGACAGAAAACGAATACTACCTGCTACAGTTCACACTGACTGTGCGCTGCCTGTTCTACACCAGCTTCAGCCTGGAGCTGTGCCGGCAGCCTCCGCCTGCCCAGCGTGCCCTCTATTCCTTCCCATGGCTGCTGGCCTATGTCTTCTATTACCCTGTCTTCCACAACGGGCCCATCCTCAACTTCCCGGAGTTCTGCAGACAGGTAGAGTCCTCTGGGGGACCCCAAGTGGGGCTGCATACTGAGTGTGGGGTTCACAAACAGTTTGGGAATAGTAAAAGACTTCTGAATGTACAACCCACAATAATTCAGTCTAATGGTACCGAATCGGTGGTGTTTCTGGAAGGGGTTACCCTTGTGCATGATCGTGAGTGTGGAGTAGAAAGTGGCAGAAGTGTGTTTAAATGTGACATTTTAGATGTGACATCCTCCTACGCCATACTGCCCAGAAGACCTCGCTCAGATTCCAGGCTACCCTGTATTCTGAGTTGCAGGTTTTTAAGGAACAGAATGGTTTGATAATGGAAAACAAAGACTTGAATATCTTTCTGCATCGTTCCTCGTGATGTGAGTACTGGGTTAGTGTCTTTGGATTGGATTGCGTTAGAATGTTTGACTTTAAATTTTTATTTATTTATTTGTGTGTGTGTGTGTGTGTGTGTGTGTGTGTGTGTGTGTGTGTGTGTGTGTAAAGGCACACACATGCTACAGCATGTATGTGGAAGTCAGAAGGCAACTGTAGGAAATCTGTTCTCTGCTGTCAGCTTGAGGATCCGGGCGTTGAGCTTAGTGTGTGAAGCCCGTGTGCAAGCACCTCCTCCCACTGAGCCAGCTCACAGACCCAGTGTTCGATTTCAAAAGTTGCTGTTTGATTTGATGACTAGAATTTCCTAGCAAATCAGTAAATGAATTTATAACAACTTCTGTAATGGCCCCAAAGACACTTCTGCAAGCCTATCTTGCCAGAGGAATTTTTACTTGAACCTGGGTGTGTAGACATAAAATGGACATATCAAGCTTTTATTGCTAACAAATCTTAAAGACATTTATTTTAAACAGTTATTTGGTATACATGCAGTTTTCACCATTTATTAAAGACTAAAGTAAATTTGCATACTAATGAGATGGATTATTTAATTCACACAAAGAGTGAAGCCGTGGCTGAGCATTTGACAAGACATGGGGCACCTTCAGCACTTACAGGGCTGATCAGTATTTTGATTTTATCACTGTGAGTGCTAAGAAGGCTGCTTTGTGTCAGTAAGAAGCCCCGCTGAAGGCTAAGACTTGGGGTGTTGGCTGTGCTCATCCATGCCATGCATGTCTCCCCACTTAGGTGTGCTGTGGATCTAAGCAGACACTTGTCTGGGCCTCTGAGTTCACCCAGGGCTAAGGGGGGCTGATGCTCAGGGGCGGTGGCCACTTGGTCCATTCCTGGCTGCTGTGAGGTTTGGGTGATCGACGCTGCAGGGAAGGCCGGGGAGGAGGAAGCTGGACTCTGACATTTCACCTGAAGAAGCAGGAAGAGCGGGAGGCCTGCTGCTCGGCACGGCACGTAGTTTAGCCTCTTGCTCACCGACTGCTCATGAGGTGGCCTGATGTGCCTTCTGTTGTTCTGGGGGCCGAGGTGAGAAATCAAACGGAGCTGAAGGACGTTCACAGGCGATGGCCGTTCTCGCTCTGCAGGCACCTTCTCTGCACAGCAGCTCGTCCTGGAAGTCAGTCAAGCCATCCTTTGTTCTTCTGTGTAGACATCTCTCCCACCCCCAGCTAACCTCCTGGGACATACTTAAGGGAGTTTAACCCATGTGTTAGTACCTAAAACAATCGTTCCCAAGGGACATTGCCTCCCCCAAAGCACAGCCATCTTGAAGAAGAAAATATGTACAGGCACATATATGTAGCTAGAGTTTTCCTGCCTGACCCACAGTCAGGACAAATCTCTATCATCCACCAGTCCCACAGCCGCTCAGACCCGACCAAGTAAACACAGAGACTTATATTGCTTACAAACTGTATGGCCGTGGCAGGCTTCTTGCTAACTGTTCTTATAGCTTAAATTAATCCATTTCTATAAATCTATAACTTGCCACATGGCTCGTGGCTTACCGGCATCTTCACATGCTGTTTGTCATCATGGCGGCTGGCAGTGTCTCTCTGATTCAGCCTTCCACTTCCCAGCTTTATTCTCCTCCTTGTCCCGCCTATCCTTCCTGCCTGGTCACGGGCCAATCAGTGATTTATTTACCAACCAATCAGAGCAACACATTTGCCATACAGAACATCCCACAGCACATATAAACATACATGTATACACAAAACATGCATGTAACACATGTATAACACATAGGCACACACAGCACATTCATGTACATACAGATGTATACACAACACATGGATGCACATGTGCACACATACAATGCATGCCTATACCCACATATAACACACGTGTATACACACACATGTCTGCATATATGTGTAGCACACCTGTGCATGCACACATAGAGCACACACACATAAAACATTGCATGCACTCATATAGCTCACACATGCATGCACTCACATGCAGCACACACATGCATGCACTCACATACGGCGCACGCATACATGCACATACATACATGGCAGCATGGTTTAGAGCACAGGACCAGAAGTATTGCTGTTTCTGTGACAATGTGAAAGACGCCTGGTGAGGGAAAAGGAAGGCTCTTAGGAACGACTTATTTCATCTTAAAAATGCCAGCGTCACACATTCATGCAGAAGTCTGTGTTTGCGTTACAGAAACAGCAGTGTTCTAGACTTGTCGGTGGAGTACAGGCCTTTGCCCAGCAGACATCTCCCGGTGTCTCGGGCACTCAGGCCGGGGCAGGCGTGCTCTACGGTTCCTCACACTTCAGTCTGATTCTTGGGCTGTGAGGTGATTGTAGGTCCGAATTTGAGATTGTGTCTTAGATACTGTGTAAAGACGGTGGTTAGTGAGGCCGCTGATCCTGCGTGTGGTCCCCGGTCTGCAGCATCAGCACCATCAGGACTGAGATGTGGGTCCTCAGGCCCTACCCCAGGCCTATGACTGACCCGGGCTTTGGGTCGGGCTCAATGCTGTGACTTGCCAGGTGCCTGAAGGGTGACTTGTGCTTCCGGGAGGCCGAGAACCACTGTCCTGTGTTTGTCTGAGGAGTGGGGTGAGGCGGTGCTGGCACAGGATTGGCCGACTCAGACCTTCCACATCCGGCCTCCTGCAATTTCCTTGACATTATGAACTTGGCTTCTTCCCAACTTTCCAGCCAATAACTTTTGAACTAAACCTCGGCCCCATCCCTCCCCCGGGATGGACAGTAATTCTTGGGGAAGTAGACTAAAGCCGCTCAGAGGAAAGAGTCTCCCCAAGTGCGTCACATGCACAGGGAGCTTTGCCCAGTGGGAGTTGCACTCTTGGGATGCACAGCCGTTCTTTGCATTTCTCATCTCCTCCTTTGCAGCTGCAGCCCTCAGGGTCCAACAGGAACAATGGGAGCAAGCGTGTGGTCGGGTCCCAAGCCCGGCCCTCGGGGGCAGATTTGAGTCTGCAGTTCATCCAAACCCTTAGCCGAGGACCGTCATTTCCTGGAGCGTCAGTAGAGAGGATGGACGGGCTCACCCCGTAGGGGCTCAGGGTCCACTTGGATCTTTTGTTTGTTTGTTTGTTTCTTGAGACAGGGTTTCTCTGTGTAACAGCCTTGGCTTTCTTGGAACTCACTCTGTAGACCAGGCTGGCCTTGAACTCACAGAGACCTGCCTGCCTCTGCCTCCCAAGTGCTGGGATTAAAGGTGTGCGCCACCACTACCTGACATCTACTTGGGTCTTACTTATTTCTCTCTTATGCTTTCCAGTCACTGAGAGTAGGGACTTCGGAAAGGCAAATCAAAACATTCCTCTCTGGTCTGCCTATATTCATTAAAGCCATCCTAGAAAAATAAAATGCTCAGTAAGCCACAGGACAAAATAAATACTAAATAAAAAGCCAGGCAGAGTCTGGGGGAGGCAGCTCGGTGGACAGAGCACTCGTTTTGCAAATGTGAGACCTGAGTTCAGATCCCCTGAGCCCACGTAAAGCTAGTCACGCAGTGCACACCTGTAGTGCCAGGGCTTGGTGGAACCCCTGGAAGTCTGTGGGCCAGCTGGACTGATATACACAGTGAACAAGAGACTCTGTCTCAAGGTGGAAGGCAGGGACCAGCACCTGAGATTGTCTTCTGACCTCCACGTGTGCATCATGGCTTCTACGGTCCTGCACTCACAGGAACCCACACCCGTGACACACATTATACACACAAAGAATAAGAAGCCATGTGATTTCTGCATTTGCTGAGGGAGCCTGTGGGTGCTTTCCTCCTCTGTAATGAGGTAATCTAGGAGGGAAAGCCTGGGAAGAGGGGTTTGAATGATAATGGAAGCACTGTGAGAATGCGCAGGAGGAGGCTTCACCACCAGGGGGCAGCAGCGTCCCACATGGACAAGCTGGATCTCCGTGGGAATCTCAAGTACTACTAAAATGAGACAGGAACACCTCTGCAGATTACATCTGTTACTCCAGTTTTTAGCACATACATTTATGTATGCATACGAGGGAAGTGTGGAAGAGGTGTCCTCTATACTCTACAGCATGTGAAATACTCACCAAACAAGACATTTTACCTACTGCCTGGCCTCATTGCCTTATCTGGAAGGCCGTTTCTGGCCTGTGGAGTGTCAGGAACCCAGGCTCCAGCTACTTTCCTGCTGTATTTCTGGGGAGTTAAGATCCTGAACTGTTGTGAGGCAGAGTCCAGCAAGGCCTGGGTAAAGTAGGGTGGCCTGCTGGTATGCTTTGTTGGAAAGTCTGGGGCCTCAGTCTTCCCTGAGCAGGCAGACTCTGCAGTGGGGACTGGATAGGGTGACAGGCAGGCTGAGTGGTGCTCCTTGGGACTTTCCTCACCAAGGGCCGTGTTCCCCACCCATTGGAGACAATCAGTGTACAAATGGGACCCTTACTGTGGAGGCCAGCTCCGGGTTCAAATCCCTGCTTTGTTCTGGTGAGCTGCCTGCTTTGTGCCTCAGTTACCTTTTCTGTGGGATGGAAAAGTCAGCAGAGCCTGGATTGTTGTGGGGAGCACATGGTTCCATGAGGCGATGAGCCTTGATGCTTGTATTCTATTACACTCACTGCTGCTGTTGTTGTGATTA